ACATATAATAGTAAAGACCCCAGAAACCCAACAGAAGAACAAAATCCTACAAGCAGTTAAGAGAAAAGAACAAATCACATACAAAGGAAAGCCAGCAGAATCACAGCAGACTTTTCAACATAGACCCTCACATCAAGGAGAGTTTGGAGTGAAGTATTTCATGCCCTAAAAGAAAATAACCCCCAACCTAGATTGCTGTCTCCTGCAAAATTATCTTTTAATATTGATGGGGAAATCAGATACTTCCACAACAAAAAATACCTGAGAAACTTCATGAATATCAAACCAACATTCCAAATAATTCTAAACAATATCCTAGAAAAAGACAATGAGGGTCACAATTCCATGAGGCCCAACAGAGCAAAGCCATCAGGCAAGAAATTAAAGGGAAAGGGGAAAAATAAAAAATAATAGAGCCAACAACAGGAAAATATCATTGGAAGGATAAGTCAATATGTATCAATTATAACCATCAATGTTACTGACCTCAATTCACCAATCAAAAGAAACAGACTGGTAAAATGGATTAAGAAGCAAAATCCAAAAGTATGTTGCATACAAGAAACACACTTAGTTCAAAAAGAAATTCATAGCCTGAAAGTAAAAGGATGGAAAACAATTCTCCATGCAACAGGAACCCAGAAAAAAGCAGGGGTAGCTATTTTATTTGCAGACAATGTAGATTTCAAACCAAAATTAATTAAGAGAGACAAAGAAGGACACTACATCCTTGTAAAGGGAACACGCCAAGAGGAAGAGATGACTATCATAAATATATATGCCCCAAATACTAGTGCTCCCAACTATGTAAAACAAATATTAATGGGCATGAAAAACCAAATAAGCACTAATACAATTGTAGTGGGGGACCTCAATATCCCACTGTCAAAAACAGACAGATCATCTAGACAGAAAATCAACAACAAAATACTAGAACTGAACCAAACTTTTTTTTTTGGTACTGGGGATCGAACTCGAGACCTTGTGCTTGTGAGGCAGGTGGTGGAACCACTGAGTTAAATCCCCAGCCCGTGAACCAGACTTTTGAACAAATGGACTTAACAGATGTCTACAGTGTTCCACCCCAGAAAATCAGAATAAACATTCTTTTCAGCTGCACACAGGTCATTCTCTAAAACAGACCACATGTTAGCTCATAGAACATGTTTAAGTAAATGGAAAAGAACTGAAGTTATCCCCTGTATATTTTCAGACTATAGTGCAATTAAACTGGAGATCAATAGCATAAGAAACTGCAATTACTTCACAAACACATGGAAATTGAGCAACACTCTCCTGAACAACCAATGGGTCACACAGGAAATTAAAGAAGAAATTAGACAGTTTCTACAATTAAATGATAATGTCAATACAACATACAGAAACCTATGGGACAATGAAAGAAGTTCTACCAGAGAAATTCATTACAGTGAAAGCCCATACTAGGAAAACAAAGTGAGCTCAAATAACCTAATGGTGAACCTCAAGCTACTAGAAAATGAAGAGCAAGACAAACCAAAAGCTCATACAAGGGGCAAAATTATAAAGATCAGAGCAGAAATCAATGCAATGCAGACTAAGAGAATGATACAAAAAAAAAAAAATCAATGAATTGAAGAGTTGGTTCTTTGAAAGAATAAATTAAATTGACAAACTCTTAGCAAACCTTATCAAAAAAAAGAAAAAAAAAGGCTCAAATCCATACAATTAGGAATGAAAAGGGAGAAATCACAACAGATCCAGCAGAAATCCAGAAGATCATCAATACCTACTTCGAAAACCTGTACTCCATGTAGACTGGTGCAACCACTGTGGAAATCAATATGGAGATACCTCAAAGAACTAGG